GGAAGAGAGTCCCACAAGCGAGAAGAAACTGTTAGCATAAAACTTACGGTTACATCTAACTAGCTCAAGTGTAAATTGATAAGATCTTGACATCAGTCTACTGCTGCGCTGAACTCAAATACTTTAGGTGCCATTACAGAGAGCTTATTCGAACTGCCATGAAAGTATTTATAGAAAAGAGAAAAATTTAAAAAATAGACAACTTTTAGGCGGTGGGAAAATGACTAGAGCTGAGCCGCCAGATCAGGACTAATAATATTGCAGATTCTTCTTTAGATCTTATCAAGAAGCTCAAGTTCAACAGTAGGGCCATCGCACCATATGTGGTAATAATATCCTAAGTATGGACGAATGGTAGACTTATAGGGAAAATTATCTGGCCCGACTTAGTGAACCGACTTTCTTAGCAGCTGACATAGCACTGGATTCGTGTCAGCAGCAAACGTTAGCCTGAGAAGACGTAACCAGTCACTTTCCTGTATTTATAGAAAATACATAGAGAGGTAACCTTACGCCGATGGGAAAGTGACTAGAGCTGAGCCGCTAGATCAGGACCAATAATATTGCTGATTCTTTTCATATCTTATCAAGGATCCCAAGTTAAATAGCATGGGTACCGGACCATATGTTGGCAGCCATATTCTAAGTATGAACGAATGGTAGACTTATAGATATGTAAGATAGACTCTGGAGAGAGAGAGAAAAATTAAATCGAATTTACCCCAATTGCTATGAAAGTATTTATAGAAAAGACATTGAGAGGCAACCTTACGGCGGTGAGAAAATGACTAGAGCTGAGCCGCCAGATCAGGACCATTAATATTGCAGATTCTTCTTTAGATCTTATCAAGAAGCTCAAGTTAAATAGCATGGGCATCGGGCCATATGTGGTAATAATATCCTAAGTATGGACGAATGGTAGACTTATAGGGAAAAGTATCTGGCCCGACATAGTACACCGACTTTCTTAGCAGCTGAAATAGCAATGGATTCGTGTCAGCAGCAAACGTTAGCCTGAGAAAGCGTAATCAGTCACTTTCCTGTAGGATACAGATTTCAGGATAATTTATACTTGCAAAAACGAGTTTCGAAAATTACATAAAATACACTAATTCCATTTATAATAATGGTATATAAACTGAACACCTGAGCAATATAATTATGTATGTTTCAGATATTTAGTTTTTTTCTTGCCTTTCATCTACATTTTGCCTTTAGAGTTTTATATATTTTGTATTTATCTTTTTTTTTATTTTAGAATTTTCCATGCATTTTCTTTCTTTTAGAGTTTTATATACTTTTTGTGTCTGCATAACGAATTCATATCAGCAAAATTACTTGTATATTTCTGTTTCCTTCTACGTGGACTAGATACACACTTCATCATTATACCCTCACCCACGCACAAACTGTATATATTGGATTTCATAGGGAAAAGTTAATATTATAGTATCAACAGTTTAATATTATAGTGAAAGGAATATTAACGGATTTTTAGGTCATTAATTGTAACTACTACTTCTATGGTCTCTCCAAGACGTAGCCCTCAACAACTTCCTATCCTTTGCAACTCTTAGCAAGGTTTGTCTTTTCACCATCCTTCCTGCTACAATCGCTAAGTAGGTTACTCGCTGATTCCTTCTGTCCCTCTTGCTCTGTTCTGTGAGTCTTAAATTCTCCTAGCCCTCTTTCCTCGTTATGTTCCCTAGAAATTCCATTTGAATATTCATGATTCTAAGTATAAGTGTATTTTTTGTTTCTAGCCATAAGATTCTTCGCATCGTTCTCTAAAATCACATTGCTTTCTTTGTTGGGGCGGGGATGTTTTTGTCTTTTATTTAGTAATGTTCATTCAGTACAAGACCTAAGAGCCACTCAAGAAAGAAGATTACTGAAGGAGTTTGTTGCGTCAGCGGTAAGACTAAGAGGTAATAATTTCAGTTTCTAAAGATATATGTTAACGATAACGGTTAACCCTATACATGAAGTGGTTAACATTGAAGTTGTCAGGAAAGCATATTCTCGGGAGTCTATTCCACAAAGTAACGATCCTTGGGAAGAAACTGCCCGAGTGGGAATTTCTGCTTACTAATCGAATACGAAGCGATGTTTCGTCCCAGTGACCGGTATTAGTTTTTTTGTTTTGTTTTTGTTTTTGTTTTTAAGCATTTCACCCCAAGCAAAGCGGAAAGCCACTAGGACGCAAGGGGTTACAGAAAATATACAGCGAGATCAGATAGGAGTGACAGAAGAAAGGATGAGGGTAGTGGATATATCAAGGCAACTGGAGATGTCGATTGACATTACACTTGAATAGCTGGAGATTATAGCTCTCAGGGAAACTGGAATAGGAAAGGGAGTTCCACAGGTGAGAGGTGCGAGACATGAAGCTATTAGAGTAGAAGAGACGGCTATATTTAGGAGTTTCGACAGTGAAGGGGTGAGAGCGGGATGCCAGCCTCGTAGGGCGCTTGAACTCATGGAGTCTGGGAACCAGCGAATGCAGCTCCTCGGAGCAATTACCATGAAAGTATTTGTAGAACAGACAGAGAGAGGCGACGGCGCGTCTGTGAGAAAGTGCCTGTAGACGAGATGCCAGAGCAGAGCCAATTATATTGCATATCCGCCTCTGAAGCAAACAGAAGGGGCACCAGACCATATATGGCAGCAATACTCTATGCAAGGGCGAATTGTTGATTTGTAAATCTGGAGGATCGATTCCGGGGAGAAAAATTTCCTGGCGCGGCACAGGGAGCCAATTTTCCTTGCGGTGGACGAGGCAATTGACTTAATGTATTTGTTCCATCTCAGGTCAGCAGTCAACGTGAGACCGCAGAGAGTTGCTCCCGAGGAGTTGAGCGTCAGACATTCTAATGGAGGGCAAGGAAGGATCTCTGTGGTGATTAATAAAGAGCAGTTTTGTTTTTGAAGCATTAATGTTGACCCGCCAATTCCTGCCCCAGTTCACAACCGATTGGAAGTCTTTTTCGAGACGCACGGCCAGGTTAGTTTTATCAGTGACACTAGATTTGTTTTTGAGGCAGGAATAAATTGTGGTGCCATCCGCGTAGATGCCAACTTGGGAATTTATGGCATCAGGGAGGTCATTTATGTAGATAAGGAATAGAGTGGGCCCTGGAAATTAGAAATGATGTCACTAAGAAGTGTTGTTTGCTAAACATTTTCCATGGAAACAGGCACTAATGCGAGGCTTGTGGCGTTTCAGTTATGCGAAAAGGGTTGTAGGTTGGAAGACAATTGTGTAGACGCCTTAGAGCTCAAAGACTGGAAAGTCAAATCTGAGACGCTTCAGCGCAGCTACGGGAGCGGCAATCCATGTTCAGTCTCTTCTGGCTGTTGTAAATCTAATGCATATCAGTAGGTGTCAGATACTTACTGGAGCGATACAAGGAACCAACCGTTTTTCCCATCCTCTATAGCGATTGATCGTATATATGTCTTACTTGAGGTTTCGGTTGTGTCCTAGTAGTTGTTAAAGAGAGTGATTTCACTTTCATCACAAGGAGCGAAACTTCAATGTGTGCTCAGTGATGATAAAACGTTACTAGTTTTTTTTTTTTTTTTTTTTGTAGTACTGAATGTTACAAGCCACTTATTCCCCCATTGATCTGTTATAGTCCCTTCAAAGGAAAGATCAGCTGTCAGACTTTATCTCTGAGGAGAATATCAAGCATTCACTACCATATACGAGGACCGATATTACATAACATTTAGAGATTTTTTTCTTTGTTTCTAAAGAATTTTTTTGTTTCTCAATACTTTGCTTAGCTTTTAGAAGACATCTTTCACCATCCAAATACGCCTTTATCTTTCAGCGTCACACTTACCGACCTCTGTTGGTGTCTCCAATTTATAATTTTTAACGTTCCTTTTGTTTTCATTCATATGCATTGTCTTCTTGTAAGTGGTGTTTAGTCCTTTCTTCTCGCTTTCCTTCACTACATCTAGTAGTTATTCTAGTTTCCTTTCTTTGTCTGCTATCAACACTGTGTCATATGCATACCTTATGTTGTTAAGATTGTGGTCGGCAATAACTGATCTTCATTATTTACATTATTCGGACTGTTGTCCTCATCTTCATTACCATATTCACAACGTTTCGTCGGTACAACGTTGCAATATAGATAAGGATAACAGTCCGAATAATGTAAATAATGCAAGTAATCATAATACCTCATCTCAGAGATATAGGCATATACAACGTATCCTGACAGGACAACTAGTTCTCTAAGAATCGGATCACTGTGTCTCTGCATTTTTCGTCCTATGTTAAAACACTTCACAGATATATTCTGTGAGTATCAAATTCTCCAGGCCCTCTTTCCTCATCTGCCCTAGAAATTTCAAATATGTCTTTATGACTAAATATATGCCCCATTTGTGTTTCCATTATCCTAAAACTTCCTCATTACTTAACCCATGGTATTCTCAGCAACCTTCTGTAGAACCACAAGAAGTCTCTTCTTCATCTTTAAGACTGTTCCAGCACTTAATGTCATCTCGAAGGAGTGATACTATACAACAGCTTAGCGCACTTTTCTTTGTTTCTAACTGTTGTAACCGGGGACTAAAGAAACAGAAGCACCGTTCCGGCTATTGTTCAGACACGGAAGTAACGCGTCGGTCATATTGTGTTTGTGTGAATAAAAAGCAGGAGTATCGCTTCTGCATACAGAAGTCATCAGAATAAACTGCGTTGTCGTTGTTATTAGAGAAGCTCTTACCAAGTTGTGACACTAACAATATGTTCTGTTGCTTAATATTTCGCTAAGCATATTTTGCTATCCTGATGTAGCTTCGGATTTCGGTGTCACGTTTTCTGTCTTCTGTTAAAACCATCCACAGGCATTTAAATTTTCGTACTTGCTCGAGTTCGACATCTCCAAAAGATCACTTGAACGATTTTGACATATTTTTTTTAATTTTTTTGGCCTCTTCCTATCACTGAGAAATATCCATAGCATTGTGATTTTTTGCTGATGTTTTCTCGTTTGCTTTTTGATTCTTTTTTTTTTCAATCGGTTATCAAGTAATTTTATTAATTTCCATTTTTTTCAACACCTATTACGACGAAGTTAGCATTAGAAATGCTTTGTGTTCATAAGATTTTAAACATGGAAATGTATAAATATTTAAAAACTTTTCCAGAAATATATTCATCGTGCTCACTTAAATAAATCTTTCTTCTTCTTCTTCTTTTTCTTCTTCTTCTTCTTCTTCTTCTTTTTCGTCTTTATGCAATGTCTTTTCAGGACGTGGACGATCATGGCTCTCCACAACCTTCTATCCCCTGTGTTTCTTAGCAGTATTTCTTCATTTAGCAAAGCTCCCACCCCACGTTCAATCATTCATTCACACAAACTCGTCATGTAAGTAACCTGCTGCCTTCACTTATTTCTTTTGATCTCGATATGATCTTCTTCTACGTGCCGCGCCTCTTCAGGACATAGGCGATCATGGCGCTCTACGGCTTCCTATCTAGTGTGGGTCTTAGCAGTTTTTTCCCTTTGTTAAGCCTCTCGCCAACCGTTCTGCCATCTATTCACAATTATCTTCATTTCTGTACAATTGCACTTGGAAAAGGAATGAATCTTTCTTTTCTACTCCCAGCTATGGGTTAAATAGCAGATTCGGTTCTCTTGCTTTGAGCGTCAACCAATCACTGAGAAAGACACAACCGCGAAAGTATCATCTTTTCCAAGAAGACATGGTGATTCACAGATAATAAATCAAAGGAATATGTGGAGAGCCATAATCGCCTACGTTGTGAAGGGGTATAGTCTTTAAAAGTACACAAAGATTCCTTCAAACACCTTAGGGCGTTTCTTTAAGGTTTCAGTGTGACCTAAGATTTTACACAATATTCTCCCGCCCGTTTGTAACTCTGACTCTTTCTCAAACTATTTCCCTCCCCCTTTCTTTCTCGATTGCATTCTCACTCCTTTTCTTTCTTTCTTTCTTTCTTTCTTTCTTTCTTTTCACTCTCTTTCCTTCTCATTATCTTTCTCGATCTCTTTCTTTCGCTATCTTTTTTCTTTCTTACTTTCTCTGTTCCTATACAATTATACCTTTTTCTTTTTCGGTCTCTTTCCCCCTCCCTTTTTTTCTTGTCTCTTTCTCTCTTTATCTTTTTCTTTCTTTTTTCCTCTTTCTTTCTATCTCTACCTTTCTTTTTCTCTTTCCCTCTCCCTTTTTTCGATCTCTATCTTTTTCTTTCTCTCTCTCTCTATATATATACTGTATCTTTTTCTTTCTTTCTTTCTTTCTCTCTCTCTATACTGTATCTTTTTCTTTCTCTCTCTCTCTCTCTCTCTCTCTCTACTGTATCTTTTTTCTTTCTTTCTCTCTATTTTTTCCTTCCTTTTAATCTTTCTTTTCTACCTTTTTCTTTCTTTCTTTTTCTATCTTCTTGTTTTCTATATTCTATATTTTCTTCCTTCCTCTAGTTTTTTCTTTCTTTCTCTCTCTTTTTATTTATGTCTTTCTTTCTTTCTTCCTCTCTCATTATCTTTCTTTTTCTCTCTCTTTCTATCTCTTTCTTTCTTTTTATCTATCTCTTTATCTTTCTATCTCTTTTTCTCTTTCTCTATGTCTCCTCCTCTGTCTATTCTTTCTTTCTTTCTTTCTTTCTTTCTTTCTTTTCCTGACTCTTCACACCTCTATTTCTATTTCAAGCATCTGTTCTTTCCTATTCTTTCTATTCTTTTTGCTGTTGTTGTTGTTGTTGTTGTTGTTGTCTTTTAGTCGTTTATTTTAAAGGCACCTGATCAATCTCCATATTTCGATGCTTCGACAAAGTACTTTGCTGTTTAAACGCTCCCAACCCACACTTTTTCTTTTAAGTCTTTTCTTTCCAAATTCACTTTTCCATTATTTGTAGAGGGTGTGGTATCCCCACCCTTTTACATTTGCGGCTGACAATCTCGTCCGTCAGTCACAACGAAACCCAACAAGGCAATAAATTGTCTTCAGCCAACCCAACCTGAACCATGGTTTTTCTTATCAACGTTCGTGTTTTCTTTCTGCCGGCTACACGATTAAAAAAGTAACCATTCTCTTTGATGAAGAATCAGAGTCGAAGACAGAAATAGTGAATCGAACAATTCGTCACCTTTTTTCCACCGTGAGCCAATCAATCATCAATGCAGTACATGAGAAAGTACAAAAGAACCTTGGGCTAGACTAAAAAAAAAAAGGTCGTCCTTACTCTCCATCATATAGTCCGCTCATAGACGCATCACGTGTAATTGTAGCCGTTAGCAGCAGTAGTACAAGATGAGCCTCAAGATGAGCACCGCTCTACAGGTTGGTTTTGAATTCAGAATATTAATCCTTCGAGACTCAGGGTAGGTCAGCCCAGTCAACCCAATCAGTGTTTTTATTCAACTCCTAGCTGGAGAGATGGATTCATGTCTTTTTTCGAGAGTATTTTTGTGAAAGTGAAAGTTACGAACTCGATTCTCCAATATCTGTCTACGAGTCGCTAACCGTTATATCGATGTGCGTTTTGGTGCCGAGTTCGAATTCCAGTCAAGTTCGTTAGATTCACTTACGCATAAATACAATTGGGAAAGGTGTGAATCTATTTCTTCTTCCCCCCAGCTATGGGTTGAATAGCAGGAAAAACTGAGTTCCATATCCTTGGTTGGCAACCGACTGTGGGAAAAATCTGCCTCGAAAGATACAAAATCGCCCAAGTGTGTATCGTAGGGCACTCAATGCATTATAACGTTATAATAACATCATTGGATTGGTGAGTTTTTTACAGTTTATCAACCTTTTGCAGGTTATTTAAATCCAGAAAATATCCTTTAGATTGTATGAATCTTTTTTAAAAGATAATAATTTACCAATATAGGTCGTACTAATTGGCCCATAACTGGATTTAAGAGGTAAATTCTTAGCTTTCCAAAGGGATTTTGTCCGCAAGTCAATTTAACTTGCCCGACTGAAATTGAAATTACTGTAATCATTTACACCTCCCGCACATACAAGCTAACATCGCGTGATATTCGCAAGCGGTCATCATTTAGGTACTGAACAGACTCGATGTTGCTTAACTTCTGTGCTCGTACGAGAACCGGTTTTTTAACCCGTCATTATAACATTTATTCTTAAGTATTTTTGCGAAATAATACTATTTGAAGCCTTCAAAAGGTTTTATGTAATGTCGGTTGGTTGATTTTGTTTAGCGGCATATCAACCACTATGAATTATTTAATGCTGAAACCTAAATATTTTGTACGTAATTTTATGCTTTCACCTACACATATTTTGTACACAATTGTATGCTTTCAGGTTAAAGTTAGGGTTATTTTTTAGATATATAGTTTGTAGATCATAAAAATTATTGTTGGTAATCTCTATCTATAAAAGGCAGAGTGTGTGCGTGTGTGTAACGAATGCACGGCCGCAATTTTCGACGGATTTGCACCAAAATTTATATGCACATGCTCCAAGTTAACGGGAAGGCCAAGACCGACTTTGCATTTCCCAACTCCCATCGATAGTGGAAATAATCGATTTTTTCATGCTTCTACGGCAGTTTTCATTTAGTTTGCTGTCATTTTCTAATGGCCAGAGTGAGAGCCTATAGGTGGCTGCCACGAATAAGCAGGAAGATTGCTAGCATGCAAAAAAATCGATAGCTGCATTTGTCACAAGTGGGAAAAATTTAAATCTGCATGGCACTTTACTCCAATTGGCTCATTCGCTTGCTTAAACTCAACGTTGATTCTGATTCCGCAGAACTGGGTTGGGTGTGAAAAAGTATTTGTTGTTAACATTCTTTTTTCATTCGGTTTTTCCAGTTACGAGTACTTTTTTAAAGCTGATCGTTTTGTGTTCATTTTGTTTAGTTCTTTTTTCGTAACAGATTTAATGTTTAGTGTAGAGCTTAGAAAAAAATCGCAGTGTGAGATAGGCAAGAAGTAAGGCATGTAGCAACATCAGCACGGCGAAGGGCACTCCTTTAAAGGCAAGGAAGGGCAAAATATTTTAAGTCAAGTGATAGCGATTTCTGTATGAGTCGTAAGATTTTCGAATCAAGCATGGGCAACGCCGGGCCATGCTGCTAGTTCTACTATAAAAATGTATTTTCATATTTTTTAAGTGTTACATTGATTGTCATTTTTATAATGTATTGTTGCCGATTTTATTATAAAAACGTGCTGTTGATTTTTGTTTGGGGATTCATTATTTGGCCAAAGCTGGGACCCTAGCAGCCTCTACCACCCCGTGTTATGGTGGCCCTGGGAGCAACAGCAATTAAGAGGTGGTTATATGATCCTGAAAACCTCCAATGTCCTGGCCAGTGTACTTGCTGCCGGATGTAGTTTATCGTCATACTCAGGACGTTTATAGTGATTTTCGAAGTGTAGCTTACATGTGGCACAAGGCCGGAAGCGTGGGCACCGAATGAAGATCGAACTCACTACTCAGTTGAGACAAGCTTGTTAACCATTACACCGCCTCGAGGACGTTTATATAAAGTACATTAAGGATGACGAATACTGTCAGTCTGAACGGTAAGCGCTTTACATCGAGAATTTCTCACAGAATTTCTGAGATTAGAAATTATTGTGGATTGATTGATTCGAACCTCATCTCGGTAGCCATCGTTATACCGTTTCGGCCGTTGTAATCTCCGGCCTTCTTTAGGTGTTTTCTAACGTTGTTGGAATTTTGAACAGATTCCTTCGTTTAATCACCGTCAGTAGACTACATGTTCTGCTGGATTACACTGACTGACACGGAGTTTGAACTTAGAGCCCCCCTGACCATCAAGACATTTAGAGGTGCGCCCGTATATCGTCGTATCATTGGCCAAATGCTCGGAGTATGTTCTTAGATAGGTCACTTATGTAAATCAGAAAAGGCGTTGGTTCGGGAAGGGATCCCTGGGGGACGTCTGCGTTGAACGCCAGGGACGCCTCGAATGACTGGCTGTTGATAACTACCTTCAGGGATCTACCTGTTATGAAGGATTTTATAATAGAGAAAACACTTCCGGTGTTTCCATAGCTGGAGAGCTTATTTAGCAACCCCTTGTGCCACGCTTTGTCGAATGCCTTCGAGATATCTAATGTTATGGTCCTTGCTGTATGTGTGTCATCAAGGGCTTGACTAATTCTTTGTGTAATGATACTTAGGAAATCAGCAGTGGATCGGGCTGATCGAAACCCATACGTCGCACAAGAGGTTCTTCCTATCCGGGTGCTCGACGATCTTCTTGTTGATTAAAGCCTCAAAACAAACACACGCGCTCTCTCTCACAAACACAATTACACACACACACAAACGCACACACACACGCACACATACATACAGATTTTCATAGAAAATTTTCGTCCTCTGACAGGAATCGAACCTGTATCCTATACGGAACCGTCATATGGCTTGACGTGCATTTAATCGTTTCGACGACAAAGGCACGTTCGGTTAGCAAGGTCGATTTTACTGTCTTCTTTAATTTTCTATGAATCTCTCACGTACATTCGTATCTGCTCATGGCGTATCGAATATAAACAAATGACGTCACACATTATGGAATAGAGAAAGTTCGACAATTATTTTGGGCCATTTTTATGTTTATACATTCTTTTTATAGATACAAATATTATAAAACGGAGCATTTACTTAAATATTTGTATTATAAAAAGAATGTATAAAATAAAATGTATTAATAATATATATATATATATATATATATATATATATATATATATATATATATATATATATATTATTATTATTATTATTATTATTATTATTATTATTAATATTGGGAAGAATTTATGCGTATACACCTATCTCGACAACCAGAGTTGACTTGTTAGTACTCAAAAAACACCCCTGCAATTTCTGCACGGGTCCTAATAACTATAAAAGAAGCGTGTTCTGTCCATTTCCAGAATTTAAACCTAATATTTGTTCTTTCTTATTCACAACCAACATGATTTCGGAGGTATTAAAGTTATTCTCTGAAGACGACGCTTGAAGAAACTATAGGACACATTTGGCACCCATGACACCTCGATCATCTAATTGTGAAGCGGTTTGAAGAGAGAAAATGTCTGGTGATCTATGAGGACTGAATTCGTGTTACTTGTTACTCAACTGTTAATAATATGGCTGTTATTTCCTTTCTGCAAATGTTATTTATTTTTCTTGTTAGAATAACGCAAAGCAAAACGTAGGGGAAAACTGAAAGAGGGGAGGAATGAAAGATGGCAAGAGAGAATGAGAAGAACAGATAAAGAGCATTGTGAAAAATGGCGGAAATTGTTAGAAAGTTTTAATACTGAGATGAAAGAGAACAAAAGTTTTGAAACAATGCATTGGGATCCAATAAAGCAGAGATCCAGAATGCGAAACTAAAACAGAAGCCAAAGAATCATTTGATTAACCCGTTTCATATGTTTAATAAAACAGTGACGCGAAGTAGAAACAGCTTTCGAATGAAAAGAGATTAGTAACAGAATGACAAAGATGGCGACGACAAAGATGGCGACGACAAAGATGGCGACGACAAAGGCTATTTCTACAAAAAAACGTTGCAGCATGACGATCACTTAGTTTGGTGGTAGCACCTGTTAGGATCCCAGCTATGGACAAATAGCGAGCAGCCCAGATAAAAAATACTATG